TATCCCCTTCCTAACTCCCTACCTACACTCACCTTTACTGGCTCCATCCCCGCCTCTTCGACCTGTTTGTTTCCTCTCCACCTATCCTCTCCTCTATCCCTCTTCTATCCGCCTCCCACTCTCTCCCTATTTATTTCAAAACCCCCTTCCCCTCCCCCTTTTCTGATGAAGGGTCTAGGCCCGAAACGTCAGCCTCTCTGCTCCTATGATGCTGCTTGGCCTGCTGTGTTCATCCAGCCCTGCACCTTGTTGTCTCGGATTCTCCAGCATCTGCAGTTCCTACTATCTCAGAGAGAAAGACAGTTGGACAGAAAAAGGAGTTGCTAACGATCAGGCTGGGAGGGTGAATAGTTATTAATGGGGACTGTTAGTGACTAACAACAGGGGGTGTGTCGTGGCAGGCTATGTGGTAACAAGGCCTGGTGTGGGGGGTGGGGGGATGGGACATGGGAGAGTTTAGGCCCTAAAATTATTGAACTCAATATTGAGTCCGGAGGGCTGTAGGGTCCCCAAGCGGAAAATGAGGTGTTGTTCCTCCAGCTTGTGTTGGGCTTCACTGGGACACTGTAGCAAGCCGGAGACAGAGATGTTGGCCAGGGAGCAGGGTGGTGCATTGAAGTGGCAGGCAACAGGTAGTTCAGGGTCTTTTTTGCGAGTGGAACATAGATGTTCTGCGAAGCGGTCGCCAAGTCTACGCTTCGTTTCCCCAGTGTAGAGGAGACCACATTGTGAGCAGCGAATGCAGTAGACTAGATTCTTGGAAGTACAGGTGAAGTGTTGCTTCACCTGGAAGGTACGTTTGGGCCCTTGGATGGTGGGGAGGGAGGAGTAAATGGGCAGGTGTTGCACCTTCGCCGGTTACAGGGGAAGGTGCCGTAGGGCTGTGGGGAGGTGTTGAGGGTGAAGGAAGTGTGGACCAGGGTGTACCGGAGGGAACGGTCCCTGCGGAAGGCGGACAACGGAGGGGAGGGGAATATGTGTCTGGAAGTGGCGGAAATGGCGTCTGATGATTCTCCCAGCCTGATCGTTAGCAACTCCTTTGTCTGTCCAACTGTCTTTCTCTCTCTTCGGACTCTATCCTATCGTTTACTCCCTACCCCACCCACCTCCCTATTTTCTGCATATAACTTGACGTTTTCCCAGCCACCATCAGTTCTGAGGAAGGGTCACCGGACCCGAAACGTTAACTCTGTTTTCTCCTCCACAGATGCTGCCAGACCTGCTGAGCTTTTCCAGCAACTTTGTTTTTGTTCCTGATTTACAGCATCCGCAGTTCTTTTGGTTTTTATTGGGAATGATAGGTTCCCCATACCCTGAGCAATTCAAAACATGTGGAAGACTTGAATATATTCAGAAATGCAGAAATAAAAGCAAGAACAGTTGCACAAGTACAAGCAGTTAAATCAGACTATACCATTGGGTAAGACTATAAGCTCTTACCATTTCTGCTGTGCCAGTCATGACAGCAATCGGAATGGAGTACCTCTGGTTACTGGTTGTAATTTTCCAACTCTGGTTCTCATCTTCACCGACTTTCACTAGCATCACACGGAAATTTGTGCCTCCCAGATCCAGCGCCAGGAAATCTCCCACCTCTGAGTGTGAAGGACAAGGGAAGATGTGTCACTCAATGTGCATGCATTGAAAGAAAGCCTAATTGCAAAAGAAATTCCAAACAAGCTGAGAGAAAGCGTCTTACGACTCACATAAAAGAGAATGCTGGAATACTCAGCAAGTCCAGCAGAATCTGCATAAACAGAACAGCGTTAATGTTTCAGGTGAAGACCTTTCAAAACAATTCTTACTTTTCAAAGTTCAGGAGGGAATTCTGAAACAGCTCTACAAAGTAAGAGAGATCTTGGAACTGAATTAAACAAGTGTCCTGGACAAAACTTGTCCCTCAAACAACTTAACTGTTTACTGTTTACTTACTGCTGTTGTGGGGACTTGCTGTACACAAAGTAGCTTACCTGTTCACCTGCAAAGCAACAGTGATTATACGACAATTGGCTGCAAATTCTGAATATCCGAAAGACATGAAAAGATACTGTATTAATGCAAGCTCTCTTTTTGTTTTCTTGAAGACATATCATGTCAGTATGTGCAAATAAAAATCACAGACATGGCATAGAAGAGGGATGGGAAAAAGAAGAATGTTGAATATGGAATATATTGAATGATGATATTTGGATGAGAATGCTACCTTCCAGCATTGCACATTGCTCAAATCTCATGGGACCACTAACTGTTAAACGTTTGAGTAGTTGTCAAATATTGACTAAAACAATGAATCAAAGTAAGCTAGAATTTGATTGTTCCAGTGCAAGAGTTATAACCAGAGTCAAGTTGTTCACAAGAGACTTTATACTATGTTTATAGGGGCATCATGTTTTCATGCAATGATCTTGCAATCAATTATGAAAATGTGTTATGGAGTCATAGTGTTGGGTCAATATTTTTCAGCAGCTTAGTTTTTTCTACCTGAGCCATCTGGTGTTGAACGTACGTAAGTGGGTAGCATCTTGACACTGGCTGTTTTATGAGTTTCAAGCCGCAGGCCCTTCTCCATTTCCTGCTGTATTCTCCGCATCACTTCCAGTAGCTCCTCTTTCTCAAGGTGAAATTCTGACAAAATCTGCTGCACCTATAAGGAGCAACAGATGGAAGCTAGGTAATATACGTGGGCGTACACATGGTGAAATCCATTTCTAGCATTCGGTGAGAATATAACTTTCAGGTTACAAGCAGTTCCAAGGCTCCAGCATTTGTCTCAAAATTTCTGTAACATTCAATTCTGCACAGTATTGAAGAAGGGCTATTGCAAGGTTTACAAGAGGTCAGTTAGGACAACTCAGGAGGTAACTGAAGAGAAGTTATAGAGTCGTAGAGTAATTCAGCATGGAAACAGACCCTTCAGTCCAACCAATCCATTCTGAATATCATTCCAAACTCAAACTGACTGCGCCAGGCCCATATCCCGCTAAACCTTTCCTTTTCATGTATCTACCCAAATGTGTTTAATGCATTGTAATTGTACCTGTATCCACCACTTCACCAGGAAGTTCATTCCACACACGAACCACCCTCTGTGTAAAACATTTGTCTCCTGTGTCTTATTTAAATCTCTCTCCTCTCACCTTAAAAATGTGTCCCCTAGTCTTGAAATTCCCCATCTGAGGGAAAAGACAACTGTCGTCAACTCTATCTATACCTCTCATTATTTTATAAACTTCTGTTGGGTCACGTCTCAACCTCCTACGCTCCAGTGAAAAACTCCCAGCCTATCCAGTCTTTCCTTACAACTCAAACCTTCCATATCTGGCAACATCCTGGTAAATCTCTTCTGAACCCTCACCAACTAGATAATATCCTTCCTTTAACTGGGCAACCAGAACTGGACACAGTACTCCAGAAGAGGACTCACCAATGTCCTGTACAGCCTCAACATAACATCCCAACTCCTGAACTCAAAGGACTGAGCAATGAAGGCAAGCGTGCCAAACACCTTTTTCTGAAGAAGGGTCTAGGCCCGAAACGTCAGCTTTCCTGCTCCTCTGATGCTGCTTGGCCTGCTGTGTTCATCGAGCTCTACACCTTGTTACCTTTTTAACCATCCTGTCTATACGTGACACAAAATTTAAAGAATTATGAACCTACACCCCTAGGTCCCTCTCATCTACAACACTAACCAAGGCCCTACCATTATTTGTATAAGCCCTACCATTGTTTGTTGTACCAAAATGCAATACCTTGCATTTATCCAGATTGAACTCCATCTGCCAATTTTTCAGCCCACTGAGCCATTTGGGAAAGATCCCTTTGTAATCTTAGAAAACCTTCTTCACTGTCTACAATGCCACCAATTTCGGTATCATCCGCAAACTTACCTTCTATGCCTTTGATATTCTCACGCAAATCATTTATATAAACGACAAACAGAAGACGACCCAGAACCGAACCCGGTGGAACACTGCTGGTCACAGGCCTGTAAAGCAACCCTCCACCATTACTCTCTGTCTCCTGCCATTAAGACAATTACGTATCCAAGTGGCAAGCTCATCCTGAATCCCATGTGAGCCACTTTACTAATTCGTCTACCATGCAGAACCTTGTCAAAGGCTTTACTAAAATCCAAATAAACAATGTCTACTGCTCTGGCATCATAAACTTTTTTCGTAACTTCATCAAAAAACTCAATCAAGTTTGTCAGATGATTTTCCTCGCATAAAACCTTGCTGACTATCCCTAATCAATTTTTGCGTCTCTAAATGTCCATAAATCCTATCTTTTACAATCACCTCCAACAATTTATCCACAACCAAAGTCAGACTCACAGGTCTTTAGTTCTCTGGTTTCTCCTTACAACCTTTCTTAAACAAAGGTACAACATTAGCCACCCTCCAGTCATCAGTGATTCACCCATAGTTATAGATGATGCAAATATTTCTGCAAGGGGCCTCGTAATTTCCTCCCTTACTTCCCACAACATTCTGGGATATATTTGGTCAGGTCTCAGAGATTTATCCACCTTTATATTCTCTAAGACCTCTCGAACTTCCTCTTCTGTAATATGAACTGCTTTTAAAACATCAAAGTTTATTTCTCTGCATTCTCTAGACTCCATTTCTTTCTCAACAGTAAAAACTGACATGAAGTATTCGTTTAATATCTCTCCCATCTCCTGGGGTTCAACACAAAAATGACCTCCTTGATCTTTAAGAGGCCCAACTCTCTCTCTCGTTAACCTCTTGCTCTTAATGTATTTGTAGAATCTCTTTGGATTATCCTTAACCTTACCGCCCAATGCTATCTCATACCCCCTCTTTGCCTTCCTGATTTTGCTCTTAAGAATGCCCCTCCACTCTTTATATTGATTAAGAGATTCAATTGAAACAATTTGTTTATATCTTAAAAAGAAGATTCTGTTTTATTCTTGACGAGAGCCTCAATATGTTTATTCATCCATTGTTCCTTAATCTCACCAGCTTCACTCTTAGAGGAACAAAATGCCTTTGAACTCTCGTCATGACACTCTTGATTGCCTCCCACTTGTCAGACATCCTTTTACCTGTGAAAAGTCTACTCCAATCAACTTTTGAAAGTTCTTGTCTCACACCATTAGAATTTGCCTTACTCCAAATAAAATCTTTAACTTTTGTGGAAGGTTTATCCTTTTCCATAACCATTTTGAAACAAACAGAATTATGATCGCTCGACCCCAAGTGTTCCCCAACATTTACTTCAGTCACCTGCCCTGCCTTATTGCCCAAACGAAGGTTTAGTTTTGCTCCTTTTCTGGTAGGAGCATCCATATATTGATAAAGAAAATTTTCTTGAGCACATTTGACAAATTCTTCACCATCCAAACTTTTAACACTATGGTAGTCCCAATCAATGTTTGGAAAATTAAAATTCCCCATTATTCCAACCTTATTATGCTCACATATATCTGAGATCTCCCATTATATTTGTTTTTCAATTTCTCTCTTACTATTGGGATGGGGGGCCTATAGTACAATCCCATCCAAGTGATCTTTCCTTATTTATTTGTAATTTCGTCCCATATATTTACAGTGGATGAATTTTCAGAAATATCTTCCCTAGTTACAGCACTAATGTATTCCTTAATCAAAAATTCCACCTTCCCCCTCCTTTCTTGCCTCCTTTTCTATCCTTTCTAGAGCATCTAAAAATGGGAATATTGAGCTGCCAGTCTTGTCCATCTCTCAGCCAAGTTTCTGTTTCAGCTATAACGTCCCAATCCCATGTTCTTAAACATGCTTTAAGTTAATCAGATTTACCTGTAAGGCCCCTTGCATTGAAATAAATGCAATTTAGTCCTTCAGAGTTACTACATACTCTGACTCTCTCATCTTTCTTTTCTAATTGACGTGCTCTCCTCACATTCAGAATCTACCCCAACAATCCTTCTATTTACACTGTTACTTAAGAATTCCTCCACTCGCCTTCTCAATCAGTATAAAGTCTCCCTTAACAGAATGAGCAAATCTCGCTGCTAAGATATTGGTCCCTTTCCAGTTTCAGTTGGACCCATCCTTTTTGAACAGGTCTTTTCTATCCCAAAAGACATTCCAATTGTCCAAAAACCTGAATCCCTGAACAATACACCAGCTCTTCAGCCATTGATTTATTTCCTTTAACCTTTTGTTCCTTCCCTTGTTTGAGTTTGGTATTGGGAGTAAACCAGAAATTACTACTTTTAAGATTTTATTTTTTAACCTTCTCCCTAACTTCTTAAATCCACTCTGTACTGCTTTAAGCTTTTCCCTAAAAATGTCATTCCTACCAATGTGTACAATGATTTCTGGCTTCTTAATCTCATCTTTAACAATATGCTTGAAATATTTAGGAACATCCTCAATCCTAGCACCAGGAAAGCAACAAACCATCCTAAATTTACACTTACTGCCACAGAATTGCCTGTCAATGCCCTGACAGGGGAGTCCCCGATAACTGGCTCGCTCTTCCATTTTCCTCAGAGAGACAATCCCCTTGAACTGTTCCAAAAACTGAATATCTATTTGATAGAGGAACAGCTACCTTCTTACCCTTCCTGACAGTCACTCATCTACTGGATACTAACTTTTCTGAATCTACTAGCCATCTCACTCTGTACCTTACATATGGCCTTCATAACATTAAGCCTAAAAAAAGGATGTTTCAATAACACCTTATGTATAAAATAAACTACCTTTTATTACCTACAGAAAATAATGATAAAATGGAAAAAAAATTTAAAATATACTCATCAAATATGTAAGAATTAAATAAAATTAACGACTTAGCTGATTAACTGAACAAAAACGATTCCTCCTCAATAAATTCCTGGAAGAAAAAAATCCACTCCGGAGTTGGCCACGTGTAGGACTTTCCGGAACAAAAACACAACTCCTTATTTTAAAAAAAACTTTGGTATGCAAAAAAAAGCCCCAAAACACATATCAACTTTTCTAATTTCTGAATTAAAAATAAAAGAAATGTCAGCCGTTCACTGCAGACGCTTAAAACAAAACGTTTAAAAAAACGTCTGTTTGAAAAAAATCGTGATTATTTTTGTTTGTTCTTTTTGGATTTTTTTGGAATGTTAATAAAACAAAATGGAAAAAATTCTTATATTATAAAACTACAATGACTACAATAACTGTAAAACCGTAAAAGAAAACTACAATAAATCTTTGACTAAGTCTGCTACCCCAGGAGCAGCTGCAAGATCTATACCAATTACAACAGTCTCAAAGGTTATAAGGTGGGAAAGTCAGGGAAGATGTGAGAGGATGAGAGAGAGCTGAAAACTCCACGTAAGGATTGCGACAGTTTGCTGGGTTGCTGGGAAGGCAGCTGAACCATACAGATTGTGAGGAATGACGAGCACATGAGTTGCTCTTTGATGTGAGGGGTCAGAAAGAAGTCTGAGGATTTAAGGGTTGGAGTCAAGGGTTGGAGTCAAGACTCAGAAGAAGTCCTGAGGAGCTGAAAAGGTCTGAGAATCACTGGCTCTGTGTTGAGGAAAGCCGTGTGGTGCTTGGAAGAAGGCAACAAGCATTGATACTCCAGTACAGCTGGGAAATTGGGGCTTGGAAAGCTTACAAACAATATTTACTTGATGTATCTGACCAAGTTTGG